TAGTAGGTGCTTGTATCTGAGGCTTTCACATCTATTGAAATTGAGTCATTTTAATAGCAAACAACCAGGTAAAAATGAAGATTATAAAGTCATTTACAGCACAATCTCAAATTTATATAAATATACATTTTAATTGTCTAATAGGATTACATCAAAATATGAAGACGACTTTTCTGAGGTTTATAGGATTTATGAGGAATTTTTTTTCCTATTAGTAAGCAGTAATTTCTAATTTTTTCTAAACTAATGTGCTTGAGTAAAAAAAAAGTGTGTGTGTGTGTTTTTAATTCTGTGAGCTGTGAAGTTCAAAGTAGGATACTGTGCAGCATTCAAGAGACAGAATTTAGTATATTAGTAAGTCGTTTGTGCACTCCTTGATCCTGTAAACTAGAACATGCTGTTCCATAACCAAATCCAGGAGGGAAAAGGCACTGTCTCATCCGAACGATGCAAACATATTTAGCCTAACAAGAAACTGGCTCATTTGAGGCTTTTATAGCACACAAGGACAGAAAGTAGTTCGCATAATTTCTGCATGCTCCTTTTATAGTGTTTATCTTTTATAAGGTTATTGGAACAGTTGCTAGCCACCTGTCAATAACGTGGCCTTTTATAGACTCAGCTTTATATTGTTCTCATGCCCTTGACATATAAAACAATATTAGAAGAAGTCAGTGTTGAATATGTTGAGCAAAATACTAATTTTAAATTTAAACGACCATCTTTTGTAGATTGAAATAGAGTTTAGAATGACATGAAGAGAATAGGCATGTTGTAAAACCCTCTTTAACAGGAATGAAAAATTCATTTTTTATCAACACTTTTGGAAAGTTAGTTAAGAATTATTTTTAAAGCACTAGCCTATGGAAAAATAAGCCAAGTAGCACTTATTTAAAGTTGTTATAACAATTTTGCATAATCTTATATCAGTTCCAACTGAAAATATTTCTATTGTAAGCCTATCAATTATGTAAATATTTGGGTTTCTAAACACTCACTTCAAATTTTTTTTAGTGGAATAAGACATCCAGCATTTCTTTCTTGACTTCCATAATATCTGTCAGGCTAAATGTTCTACATATATATTTTTGACCTACATCCTAGAAGTATTTTTCATGATACTAAATGAATACAATCCTACAAATCAGTATGCAGGAATACATTTCCTCTTATAAAGGGACATTAGCCAAGGCCTTAAGTAAAAAGGGGCCTAGTCTTTGTTTTGTGCAGTTGGAATCCAAGTTCCCTTTATGTTATAGTGAACAAGAACAGCAAGTAAAGCAAGTTTTAAACCGAGGGAAATTCTTTCTGTTCTTATTAAGACGCAAAACATACATACACACACACACACACACACACACACACACACACACACACACACACACACACGTGAACAAACACATACCACCTTTCCAACTCCATCACTTCCCACTCTTAGTAATAGGAGACAGAGAGCTACAATTTAATCTATGCAGAGATATAGGAGTTCAATAACAGAGTCCCCTACTGTGCTTGGGAGAGGATTTCTTTGTGTTTTCCTTGATAGAGTTTGCATATTGTGCTTTCAGTTTGCCCTTTGAAACATTTGTTCTCCATGACACATGGTAGCTAATTGGGCTAACAATTCCTAGCTGTCAGGAGCAATTTTAGATGTGGTCCCCTTTCTGTTCAATGTGTGATTATTTTAAAACTGCTGGAGGAAAGAAGGAGACAGCCCTTCATCAGGTCTACCGCAGTAAAGATCTGATTTTTCAAAGGGGTCTGCTAATTGGACATGTGTAATACCCAAGGTGCAATGAAAAGATAAGACGGCAGTTAAAGCCTGCAAAGTGAATGAGTTTTTTCAGGTTCACTTGTGATTATTTTGCCACCTCCACTTTGGCTGGGGCCCTCATATATTTTATCTTCCTTCAGCCTAGAGGGTGTTTTTGTAGATCTCCATGGAATTTTCTCTGGATTGCCTGTCTTCTGGTTTTCAATGGAAATATACTTGGAATAAAATAAGCCCAACATGGTTACCTATGCATAGACAGTTGATAAGAATCTGTGGTGATATTTTTGGAATGAAAGTTGAATTGTATTTGTATTTAGAATGTATGCTTTTTCTAGTTATCTAAGTAAACCTTAGATATGCTTACTCATTATCAATATATGAAATACTGTAGAAGTCTTCTTGAACTCAATTTCTTTCTTTCTATTGGTATTGACATCAAATATATGGTACAATTAAGTATTTTTTTTCTTTTTCTCTTTATTAAGGTATTACATATGTGCCCTTATCCTATTACCCTCACCCCTCCATCCCCTTGGGAGAGAGATCAACCAATTAAGTATTTTTAAATGCAAAATTTATCATTTGCTATAAAAAATTTAAATTTTTACTTTGAGGCTAAAAAACTAATTTCTTAATAGTCCCAATCTGATTAATCAGTATAATTTCACAATTAATACAAAAGTTTAGAAAACAATAAAATATCAAGAAGTTCCCACAAGTTATACCTGGAATTTAGACTCTGAATTAAAGCAAGACACTTAATATTGTGAAATTTAGGTGTAACAGCATATAACTTGTAACTTGTAGGTCTGACATAAATCTATCTTAATATGCTGTATTTCGGGTAGGGAGTAAGGATTACTGATTTGGTCAAGCACAGTGGGGAAAAGGAATAAATACCAAAGATATGTGGAATTAACTGTAAAATTTTATACATATTATTATGTTCCCTTGTTGAGAAGAATCCTAGGTTCTGTGATTCCTAAACTAAATATTTATAAAGTATCTAGAGAGCATTAGCAAGTTTATAAGTATATATTTTTCTTTGACAAATTAAAAACAAGATTAAAATATCTTGTGGCATTGCCTGTGGGCAGTGTAACAAACAAACTGGCTTTCTTACCTCATAAAGTTCTGACATCATCACTCTGGGAAGACTGTTTCTGTAAATGCATTTTAAGTCCTTTATGACTTTTCACATATGAGATTCATAAAGCAATGATATATAGGTATGCCAAATATACAATTATTACTTTCATGCAATAATGATTAGTTAGCACAATATTTTCAGTTGATCTCTTTTCTATTTATAAACCCATTATTCCATTTGTAATAAAGATAACATTATCAAATTATAAACACTTTGATGTATAAATAAAAGTAAATGTTTACATTAAATATAATAAGCACATTCTTCATATTTTATTTGTTGCAGTTTAATTACATTGTATAGGTATACCTAAATCTTGAGCTCTAAAAATCTAGGCTAAATCATTAAACTAAAAGACAGGAATAGAATCAGAAATCAAGGTTTTGTTATTCATTCAAGATATGAACTTGGCAAATCATTTTCCCTTCTTGTCACCAGTTCTTTTCATTCATAGAGTGAATCTGTTGGCCTCATTTAGTGGTTTTCACTTTACAGCAATAGAAACATCTTGTCAGACAAAAATCTCATGCATAATCTCAAAATGTATAAAAATAAATAATAACAATGGAACTTTTCTTACAGAAGCAACAATGCAGGTTCAGGAAGGAGGACAGAAAGGTGGGGTTGGGAGATCTGAAGTCCAACCCCATATACTAGCCAGCATCTTCCTATATGGCCTATTAAAGATGGCTCTAGGCTACATCAAATAATTTATTAAATTTCATGGAGCACATTTTGAAAATCATACAATTATGTGATCATTATGTTTCTTTAAAATTTCAAAATTATATAATTGTCAGTTTCATAAATTGAACAGATTTGTCTGTTAAAGCACTGAAGTCTTATTATCTTCCTTTAAAAAAGAAAAAAAAGAAATAATGCATGCAGATATGAGGGTTTCAATCTATGCTAAAAAGGATTCAAAGGTCAAAGGCCCACATTTCACACTAGGCCACTGACTTAAGTATCCCATCACACTGCTCTATAATACCAAATAGTTCACTCCTAGGAAATGAATAGATTAAAGAAACTCCAAATAACCCTTCAATGTTCAGAAAACTGCATATTCTTTTAATTACATTTAAATTATCTCATCTGATTTATTCTTCACTGGGGAGATGAGAGAAATGATAAATTTAAAGGCAGAATGTGCTTAAATAAGGATTTCTACTTTATCAGAAAGTAAACACTTCTGTCAGCACACACATATACAACTACTAGAGGCCCAGGGCAATGACATTCATGCACTGGGGGCAGGGTGGGGGGCCCTCAACCCTGCCTGCGCCCTTTTGCAGTCCGGGAGCCCTTGGGGAACATCTGACTGATGGCTGGGCCAAAGCTGCAGTTGGACATCCTTACTGGGACATCCGCTGCCACAGAGGCAGGCCCTTGTGCTCACCAGCCGTCAGCCCAGCTTGTGGCCGAGCAGCGCTCCCCCTATGGGAATGCACTGACCACCAGCGGGCAACTCCTGTGTTTAGCGTCCGCCCCCTGGTGGTAAGTGAATGTCATAGTGACCGGTTGTGCCGCTGTTCGGTCGATTTGCATATTACCCTTTTATTATCTAGGATTAGATTCTTAGTCACAATGTGTAGCAATAGAAAATGAGGCAGAACAGAGCATATTCTACAAAATAGTTCTTTGCTTGGGAGAATAAAAGCCTGTGGGAGACTAAGTTGTTCACATGGGTCCGTTTTCTTTCCCAGTTACCCACATGGGTGGTGGCGACGAGGCAGGAGTGGGGTTTTCACTGGGACTAATTTCTGATGTCCTCTCCGAAATTAGAGAGCAGGGGCTCTCTCACAACCTAAAATGGAGGAACTGAATAAAAGCAAACTTTCAATAATCCCCCAAAGGCCCCAGCGTGAAACTGTCCCAGCAGTTACCTTATATATTTAGTCTGACACAGTTCCCCTGAGTGCAGATCATTACTTTGCAAAAGTCCTGCACGGAGACCTACTTTCTCACCCTTCAGGGAAGTTCCCGTACTAGATCTTGACGTGTCTCTTTTTCTGGAACGTGAAGCAACCTGCGGTTTCCCTCTGGCAGCGCTGCTAACTCTTGTGTCGTGTCTAGGTCCGTGGGGCCGGTGCATGGGAGATGAGTGCGGCCCGGGAGGCATCCAGACCCGCGCGGTGTGGTGCGCGCACGTGGAAGGATGGACGACGCTGCACACCAACTGCAAGCAGGCCGAGAGGCCCGGCAACCAGCAGCGCTGCTTCAAGGTGTGCGACTGGCACAAGGAGCTGTACGACTGGAGGCTGGGGCCCTGGGACCAGTGCCGGCCCGTGGTCTCCAGGAGCCTGGAGAAGGCCCTGGAGTGCGTCAAGGGGGAAGAAGGCATCCAGGTGAGGGAGGTCACGTGCATGCAGACGGAGAAGGGCGTTCCGGCGGAGGAGGACCTCATCTGCGAGTACTTCGAGCCCAAGCCGCTGCTGGAGCAGGCCTGCCTCATCCCCTGCCAGCAGCCCTGCGTCGTGTCCGAGTTCTCCGCCTGGTCCCAGTGCTCCAAGACGTGCGGCAGCGGCCTCCAGCACCGCACCCGCCACGTGGTGGCGCCGCCCCAGTTCGGGGGCTCGGGCTGCCCGAACCTGACCGAGTTCCAGGTGTGCCAGTCCAGCCCGTGCCAGGCCGCCCAGAGCCCGCACAGCCTGCACGCGGGGCCCTGGAGCGCCTGCACCGCGCCCCCCTCCCGGCAGGCCAGGCAGGCCCGGCGGCGGGGCAGGAACAGAGAGCAGCGGGAGCGGGACCGGGGGAAAGCCCTGAAGGACCCGGAGGCCCGGGAGCTCATCAAGAAAAAGAGAAACAGGAACAGACAGAACCGCCAGGAGAACAGATACTGGGACATCCAGATCGGCTATCAGACCAGAGAGGTCACCTGTACCAACAAGACCGGGCAGGCTGCGGAACTGAGGTAACCTCGCATTACCGTTAGCTGCACGCACGGGGTGTTGTCTCTGTCAGTTCGCTGGGCTGGAGCAGTGGTCGGCAAACTCATGAGTCCACAGAGCAAAAATCTCAACAGAACAAGGATTGGAATTTTATTTTGAGAGCCAAATTTTTTATACTCAAGCTTCTTCTAATGCCACTTCTTCCCAAATAGACCTGCCCAGGCTGTGGTATGTTGTGGAATAGCCGCACGCAAGGGGCCAAAGAGCCGCATGTGGCTCGCCAGCCGCAGTTTGCCGACCATGGGGCTAGAGAGTCCTTCAGACATGCTCTGCTCAATCCCGAAACCCACGTGCATACAACCTAAGGTATAATGGTTAGCACCTTAAGCTTTGTGGGTTTCCTGGCATTGTTTCTGTTTTGCGCATGCTTGGCACTACGCAGCTTGAGCTCATTTCAATTTTCCTGTTAAAATGAGAGGTTCTCTGAGAGCTGCTGCTGCTGCTTTAGGTCAATAGAGCTGATTACACCTATAATGGGGGGAAACAAATACGTAGTTAAAGGCCAGAGTTTTGGGGATTTTGAATTCAGATGTTTATTTTACTAAGCATAAGACACACTTGTAATCTCTCCTAGTTTGTAGTATTTTGATAATTACCCTATAAACAAAATCTGAACAACAATCCAGGGAGCTATATCTAAGAATAATTCTCTTTCACATTTTATAAAAGGGAATAACTTTCCCCAGAGAAGAAAAGGGGAAATCAGCAGAAATTAAGGTGTTTAATTGTGAGTTTTCTAGTTTAGAAAATGTGTAATTAATTGGCTGCATTTTCTAGGCCAGAATTATTTGTCAAATTGTCTCTGAGTAAATAATGACAATGTTATGAAGCAGCTTTCTCATGTGTACTTTATTGTGAAAATATTCATTGAGGATCATTTATTGAGGATGAGCTAAAGGGTTTAATGTTCTTCAGATATTCTGAATTTTGCTTTTGGATAAGCCAGACCATGTGGGCGTGGCTGATGTGGATAATTTGCATAATTGCCTCTTAAATATTTATGCAGTTATGATTTGAACTGAACTGAGAGAAATTGTGGTAACATCATTCAGAATTTTATTTCATATGTATTGTAGAAATGACATTGAAAATGTCATCTACTTCATCACATGTCTGTTCTTTAATTAAAAGCACATAAGAAATTTCACTGCCATCTCAACCCAAGTGCTTCTGGTGAGCAGCTGGGTTGTTTTCCTGATGGCCCCTGGAAGTCTTGTATCAGATTACATTTCCTCTTTTCTTTGGCTGGGAACATAATAGGACTGTGTGACATGCATGTTGTACACTAACATACTCCACTGGCTTCCTCTGTTTCTCATACTGGTTATTTTTCTTTGCTTATTTTTGCCTAGTGATTTTGCTGTCTACAGCTTTTGAAAGCTGTTTTGAAGCCTTTTTCAGTGCAGGATATAGTGTAAATTAACGAACATACAAACAATTGACTTATCTAAGACAAGAATTTCTCTCAGTATACCATTGTTCTAGTCACTGATTTTAGGATATCTGCTATACCTCCCCTCTTTGGATTGACACAGTTGTGTTTTCTCTCAGCCCTACAGTAGTTTGCTCTTTCTCCATTTTGGTGTAGTCAGCCCAACTCCTTGCCTGGTCTTGCTAAGGGCTGCTTGTTCTCCTGCCTTCAGTGTCCACGTTCCTTAAAACTCCGTGTGTGTGTGTGTGTGTGTGTGTGTGTGTGTGTGTGTTCACCTCTGATTCTGTGTCAGGTGTACTTTCAAGTCAATCCCTGTTTTTACTCTTTTATGACTATCCTTATTCTGCTGATTTCTTGGGTCTCTAAGACAACTTGAGTTGTCTCCTGATGTCACTGGGTTAATATAGTGTAGACATTTAATTTAATGTAGACTACTCAATTAAGAGTGTAATTAGCATAGTACCTACTACTGCATAGAGCCTCACGTACCCATGCAGCTGCTTGAAATAAATCTATTTTAAAATCTGTAGATCATTTATCAGGTACTTATATTATATTAGAAATACCATATCTAATTATTCTAATAAAATGATAGTGCATGTATGTTATAAATTATTAGGGCATAGGTGAAACATTAAGCAAATTCGTTCTTAACATTTTTCTTATTTAAGAATTATATATAAGAATATACATGAATAAGCATATCTAATTAGGAAAATTAAAGTATTAGAAAAGAAGAGACAAAACCAGGTATTTTGACCTAATTTTTCTCAAACATTAGATATAACAGTGGAGCTAATAAAATGAAAAGTAAATGGATAACACCATCAAAACACAAGGCCACAGATCATGGATTCGGTGATTAAATTTAAAGTGTCTCATCTTATATCAAATTGAGAAATAATTTTATCATGTAAGAGGATGAAAAATTAATTACCATGGCTTAAAAATATCATTTTAATAACTAAATGAATTTAGATAAATAAACCTAGGAGTATTATTGAAATGGTTGGTAGACAAATAATTTTAGCAGACTTACTGCTAGAACTCTCAAGTTAAAGAAGATAGATCTTCCCTGCTTCCTGCTTTATAAACAGACTAAAATCAATAAGAATAAAAATGCAAACAGAAGTTCCATTCTTTTATGTTCATAAGAAACAGTCATAGTCCCAAACCACAATTGGCAGAGAAGATTTAGAGAATCTGGTAAAGTTAGATGGAACTTTGGGAAGAAACTTAGAGCAGCCCAGTGTCTTTGGAGCTTTTATGAACTCAAAATGTCTGAGTAGCCTGAACTTTCTTAGGGGCCAACCCAGTGATACCTTGTCTATGGCCTGGTCTGCGTTATTAAATGGGCTGCTGAAGAGTCTCCGAGTTCTGTTTGAAGACAGTATGGCATAATAGGCAGGACTAAACAAGGAAACTCACTGTGCTGTTACCGCCAAGGAACGGCTGGCTATCCGTTTGATGGACTGAGGGATTGAAGTTTGGTGCCAGTGGAAGAGAGTTCTAAGTCACTACACACACACCACCTGCACAGTGGGCTTCCCTGTGAAGCAGTGAGTTTCAGCCAGGCTTAAATAGAGTATTACCCCCAGGCCAAAAGATGGTATGAAAGTATGGGCAAAAAGTTCTCCAAGAAACAAAAAGTGTAAAAGATAATACTTTTTTTTTTCCTGAACCAAAAAGAGAAGGAATTTCAATAGTCAAAGAAGAGTGTAGAAAACAGGATGAGCTTAAAAGTGATTTGGCAGAGAGTGCAATAGAAATGGAGAATTCTAAACCAAGAAAAGAAATGAAATTCACATTACAAGAAACAAAATGTGAGAAAATATTCTGTGGTAAGAGTCACTGATATTGTGAACAGTTGCAGAACATTAAGCCACTGTAATTTTTTTTTTTTTAAAGATGATGGATATGGAACAAAACGTCACTATATGAAATTCTGGTGTTACTTGGATAGGACCAGAAAAATCAGAAGAGACATAACAAAAACATAACAATATAATGGAAAACTGTACTGAAATTAAGGAAGAATTTAATCCATAGATTGAAATTGCACAGGGCCAATATTCTTCTGGAAGAAGAAGAATAAAATCCTCAATTGATATAGAGCAATTGTTATAGAGAGAGATAGACAGAGACGTCAAACTGAAAGCCGGAATGATATTCTGAAACATTAGGTGCTTTCTCTTTAAAGAGAAAAATAAGATAGGCTATCACATTATTTCCACTGATAGTTAACATTCATGTAAGTATTAGTCAGTGTAATTGAAAGGAGAAAGAAATGAAAATTAAAAAGTATATTGCAAAATTAAGATTTCCCCCTGCCAAATTTTATAAAACTCAAGATAATAAATTGAAAGTATCTTATAAGCAACAAAATAGCTCAATGGGACAGAAAGGAAATATCCCAAGATCATTATATTACCTGGATGCAAACAGCAATTAGTTCAACATTGATGGAAACAAAGGATCATAATATCCCATTTAAAATAGTAAAAAAAAATCTGAAATAAACCTAACAATGAAAGCTCTGCATATAACACCAGACTTTGACAAGTGAAGCAGTAAATGTGTGCTTGTTTAGAACACTCAGTAAATATACCAATTGTTCCCATAGTAATTTCTTGACTATTACCAAGGAAAAAATAGGTCTATAATAAAAGCCAGGAAGATTCTGAAAAATAAAGGTAAAGAGAAAACAAACCAATGTCACCAGTAAATTAAATGCATTTTATTTCATGAATAATAATAATTGTATGTTAATACATGAATAATCAGATGAAACAGAATAGAGTCTGATTTAGAGGGGGGAAAAAACACACCTTAAAATATGTTTCCACTGATAGAAGGAGCATTTCCAATTTTGGTGAAAAGGAACATGTTTCTTTTTAAGGGTCAATTGCTTTGCCATTTAAGGAAATAATAATAATAACAACAACAACAACAACAACCACCCGTTCCTTTGTCAATTGTTATTCCAAAACAAGTCCTGGTGTCATTCAGTACTTTTAAATGTTTCTTTCAAATACTAGAAGGAAAGATAGAAAGTTAATTAGTTTTTCACATGTTCCACAAACCAGTTCAGAGTAAGAACATGGAGACAAATATATACGTAGTGGATATGGAAGACGACAGCTCTCAATAGTCTTAAAAGTAACTGCAAGATTTTCCTCACTGGATGTGCCATGTGATCCTGAGGGCTCATTCCCACATTATGACTTCGTGAATAGTAAAACTGCAAAAAGAAGGGGGTAAATTGCCCACTATTTAAAGTAATGCTGACTACTTTTAGGTTATTCAGAATCCATTTAGGACATTACTATTTCTCATGTATAAATAGTAGGCTTTTAGATTAAAGAAATTTCTGTGATACCCAAAGTGTCAATTTTCCTGCGCAGATACCCATCACCATTTCTCACAAGCCTGCCTACGCTGCTTGCTGGCCACATTTGACTAAAGAAATGGAGTCAAGATGCCCACAGTCCTTTGTCGATGGTATATGACTAATAAGAGAACCTTAACTTC